ATATTAAAAAATTAAAAAAGAACATCGCTTTTATCATTTCTGGATTATTTAGAATACTCATATACTGATTGAATGTAAATTCAAACTTATTGTTTAGGGGATAATAACAGGGCAAAATGGTCTTTATGTAAACTATTATTTGTTCTACATTAATGGGCTGACTCTGTCTTAGCAGAATCCTGGAATGTAGAAATTGTCACTTAGCAGGCAACTGCTAGTAAGATGCTTATGAAAAAAAAAAGAATACAGTGAAAGAAGACTTTTCCAGTAAGAACCACGGGCCAGACGTTATTTGGGATTTCAGAAGGTCACAAATTCATCAGGAGGAGTCATGGGCCTGCAATCTGTGGCCATGCTGATGGTTGTGCTGGAAAGTTTGGGGAACACCATGCCTATAGGGTCTTAAGAGTCCCTCCCATGCTTTGCTAAATAGCTCATCATCACCACAAGGCAGCTGCCTGGAAACCTGCTGGGGATGGCTATTGCATGATGCTGTTACTTCTTAGCAGATAGGAAGATTTCATTGTTCATTGGCTGGCACTTCCTTACATGTAGCCATTCTACAAACAGAGCAAGAAGGATGGTAGGTTGCCTAGGAGAGTACACATTCTAAGAGCCCTCAACTCAAATGTGGATGTTGTCAATTCTTTAGAGAAAGAGGGTATGGACATCAATAAAGAATGTCAAGAATGCAAATTCTTTCAAGGTCTGTAAAGAATTTTTTAAAGACCTTGAAAGAAAAATTCTCAACTTCATATGGAGTAACAAAAACACAGAATCACTAAGGCCAGGGCTTTTAATCACAATAAAAGATCTTCTGCAGGTATCTCCATCCCTAATCTCAAGCTGTACTATAGAGCAACAGAAATAAAAACTGCATGGTACTGGCATAGAAACCAATTGGTGGATCAATGGAACTGAACAGAAAACCTAGAAGTAAATCCACACACTTATGGACATCTGATTTTTGACAAAGAAGCCAAAACAATACAATGGAAAAAAGATAACATCTTCAACAAATGGTGCTAGTCTAACTGGATGTCTACATGCAGAAAAATGCAAATAGATCCATACTCATCGCCCTGCACAAAACTATAGTCCAAGTGGATCAAAAACCTCAACATAAAACCAGACAAACTAAACCTGTCAGAAGAAAAATTGAGGAAGAGTTTGGAACTTATTGGCACAGGAGACAACTTCCTAAACAGAACATCAACAGCACAGGCTCTAAGATCAACAATCAATAAATAAAACTGAAAAGTTCATGAAACTGAAAAGCTTTTGTAAAGCAAAGGAAACTGTAGATCAGAACAAAATAACAGCCTACAGATTGGGAAAGGATCTCCATTATTCCTATATCAGACAGAGAGCTAATATCCAGAATATATAAAGAACTCAAGAAGTTAAACAGCAACAAATCAAGTAATCCAATTAAAAAATGGGGTACAGATCTAAACAGAGAATTCTCTGCAGAGGAATCTCGAATGCCAGAGAAACACTTAAAGAAATGCTCAAGGTCCTTAGTCATCAGGGAAATGCAAATCAAAACCACCCTGAGGTTTCATCTTTTACCCATCAGAACGGCTAAGATCAAAAACTTAAGTGACAACACATGCTTCAAAGGTTGTGGAGAAAGGGGAACCTTCTCCATTTCAGGTGGGAATGTAAACTTGAACAACCACTGTGGAAATCAATCTGGTGCTTTCTCAGACAATTAGGAATAGTGCTTCCTCAAGATCCAACTATACCACTCCTAGGTATATATCCAAAATATGCTCAAGTATACAACAAGCGCATTTGCTCAACCATGTTTGTAGCAGCTTTATTTGTAATAGCCAGAAGCGAGAAACAACCCAGATGTCTCTCAGGTGAGGAATGGATAAAGAAATTGAGTTTATTTACACAATGGAATACTACTCAGCAATTAAAAACAAGGAAATCATGAACTTTGCAGGCAAATGGTGGGAACTAGAGAAGATCATCCTGAGTGAGGGATTCCAGAAGCAGAGAGAGACACATGGTGTATACCCACTTATAAGTGAATATAATATAAGATAATCATACTAAAATCTGTACACCTAAAGAAGCTAAACAAGGAGGACCCTGGGTAAGATGATCTATACTCATTCAGAAAGACAAACTGGAGAGACATCGGAAGAGGGAAAAAACAGTGAACAGCTGTGGTAGGACAGGAGCCTACCACAGAAGGCCTCTGAAAGACTCTGCCCTGCAGGGTATCAAAGCAGATGCTGTGACTCATAGCCAAACTTTAGGCAGAGAGAAGGGAATCTTATGAAAGAAAAGGGAGATAGAAAGACCTGGAGGTGACAGGAGCTCCACAAGGATAGCAACAGAACCAATAAATCTGGGCACAGGGGTCTTTTCTGAGACTGATACTCCAATTAAGGGCCATTCATGGAGATAACCTAGAACCCATGCACAGATGTAGCCTATGAGGGTTATATCCTCAGTGCCCAAGAGGATTCCCTAGTAATGGGAACAGGGACTATCATGGCTCTTTGATCACCTCCCCCTGAGGGGGAAGCAGCCTTACCAGTCCACAGAGGAAGACAATGCAGCTAGTCCTGATAAGACCTGATAGGCTAGGGTCAGAGGGAAGGGGAGAAAGACCTCCCCTATCAGTGGTCTGGAGAAGGGGCATAGGAGAAGAAGGGGGGAGGGTGGGATTGGAGAAGAAGGTGTGAGGGAGGAGGCTACAGCGGGGATACAAAGTGAATAAACTATAATTAATAAAAAATAAATTATAAAAGAATGCAAATACTTTTGAAGATCTGCAGTTACTTCTATTAATATAAATCTTGAGCAAATTTAGCAATAACAAACACGGGCAACTAGTCTATTTGGTGTTTGTATTAGCTTAATGAGCTATTAGCTGTGGTTTTCTGAAGACTCACACATGTCTAAGCCTCTGTATAGCTCCCCTGTGTACACGCACAGCCAGGAGGATAAGCTACCCTTCTGTATTTGTTATAGGCTATTGAAACTGATAACATATTTTATGAGTTGAAGTATTTATTTTTCCTCTATGTTGGAATATTTAGGAGACATTCCTCAAGAGAACAAAGTCTTCAAAATAGAGAACAATAACAAAAAGAAAATCAGTGTTTCTGATAATCCACATAGGATCTATTTTTACTATGTGGATAAAAAGAACAAAGCATATAGGCAAGAAAATTAAAGGAACTTTCATTTCTAGAAAAGTAGCAAAGATGCTACATGAAAATATCCACAGTGACTGACGGACATTGGTAGACGCCTAACAAAAGTTGACAGTTTCCTGCAGAAGAAACATGCCAGGATCCTCAGGATGTGGGTGAGACAAGCATGTTCCTGTGGTGACCATTTCCCAAAGAACAAAGAAACAAAATAGAAACACGGAGCTTTACTCAGTTGTGCCCTACATGGTCCCCTGATTTACGAGACAAAAAGAACTACGAATCCTCTAAAACCGTCAAAGGGTTCTGCTTCAACTGGGCAGCAATGACATCGTAACTAATACTGAGAAGAACTGCCTTAATATAGTTAGATATTTATCGAAAAACATCTTTTCTTGTGGAACATGAAACATACTAGGTAAACACACTAGAGGTTCAGGTACCATTCCATAGCCACATTAAATAAAATCTGTATGTGGTTATTAAGTGCCTAGTCAACCCAAATTAAAGAATAATCCTAATAAGGATTTAAATATACTGTCATTCAATTAGAATGAGGTGTACATCTAGTTCCCAATAGTCATTTATTGTTTGATTAACATTTTTTACCACAGTCATTTTTAAATTTTTTAAAATTAATTAATTCAATTTATATCTTGGTTTTACTAGTCTTAACTTCCTTTAATGTCTACATATCAGTGCTATTTTGTCCATTGTCTGGCCATTGTATACATTCATCCTTAATAATAAGTGTTTATTAGCTATTCATTGATTATCAGTGAATGACTAGATCCAGTTCCCTTTCATTCATTCCTGTTTTCATATTGCATTTGCTAACCTAGAAGTCAGTGATACTTCTTACCATAAGCACGCTCACTCTTCATTACATGGCTGTGCATTTACCCGGAACATGCATTCAAGAGCCACTGTTTTTATATCTTTATGTCTAAGGGTGAAATGAGGTGGGGTAAGGGAGATTTGGATGGTGACATAAAATAGTATGTGTTACTTAAATCCAATTCCCAGTCCATTGGACAAAACATTTAACATTTACCCTCTTAAATGAGCTTAATAAAAACAAAATAAGTACATTATTGTTATTTTATAAATTGAGGCACCATTTGTCTTCAGTGCTTAGAAATTAGATACTGAGCTTGTCTGTAGTGGACAATGCCCACTGCTTAACCACAAAGGTTTCTGGACAGCATTCTAACAGGGTAGGCGTGATTTCTTTGTTCTGAAGACCTCTGTGTGCTTTTCTTAACTCAATACAAAATATATCATAAAATGTTATAAACCATATACATGTGTAATTATATCAAATTATCACACTGGCTTCATAAATATGTATAATTTAAACAAAAATCGAATTGAAAACTATATGTAATGTGCAATTTGTATCTAATACTCTTATTTTTTGAATAAAATATTGTATGCATTTATGCCACTCTAAACCATATGTCCTCCTTCTTTTCTATTTTGCCTGCCAAACACTATGCTACTGAGATAAGTCATTTTGAAAATTACCTTTTAACAATGGTTTCTGAAACAAAGGTAGACAGCTCATAAAAAAATTAGCGAGGCATTTTTCTAACACTGTTGCTCAATGTATTGCTCTCAATTACTTTAGACTGTTCTGATATTACTGTGAACATCAAATGTTAATGATGAATTCTTTAAGCAGGTAAAACTTAGCCATATACACCAATTAATACAAGAGAAAATGCAAATGTTAAATGTCTGTTTTCCTTACTAGGAATTAAGTAAAATAACACAAATTAGCATTCAGGAAAGAAATTTATTATATTTAATTCACACATATACCTTATAGTCTTCATAATCGTTAATATCAAGTAAGTCTTTTTTCTTCAGTTCTAAAAAATTCTCAGTAGGTTTTACATGCCCGGGTCTAAGAGGAGTCTGTTCATATATGGGATTTCCAATAAAAAACAGTTCTTTCCAATCATGCATCAGCTTATGTGGAATAAGACTATTGAGACAAAACGAAAAAAAAGGAAGTCATTAATGAATAGTTTAGTGAAATACTTTACCTTCATCTCTGGTCTTATGTTATTTTTATAATATTTGACATAAACAAAAATGACTATTTCAAATAGTTTTAAAGCTTACTACCTGTACAATGTCAAAAGTACTTGTTACAATGGTATGCACCTAAGTAAACTGATCCTAAAGGAACCTTGGTGCTCACTTATTCTAATCATTGCTTGCCGAAGTAGAATGTTAGATCATTTAAATTACATCGTAAAGTTGCAGTCATTTGACACCAAAACTGGGAATTAAAAAGTGTAAGTTTTTGGATCACAGTTATTGTTTCAGATAATTACTCTTGTACAACACAGACAATAAGAAAGGTTTGAAGACTCAGTGGCACTAAGCAACATTTAAGTTCCAATCATTTCCCAAGATACAAGAGAAAATGCAGTTCCTAGCCTCTGAGAGCCAGCTCTGGGAAAAGGGGTAAAAGAAATTACATAAACAAGAGGTTCAGCTGAGAATTATACAGTGGGAGAATGTAACAGTTTGACTTGACCCTATTTGTTGGTTTGAGAAAAGCCTCTTTGAAGAAATGTCTGCTAAGCTGAGGCCTAGAGAATGCTTAGGAGGCAGCCAGGACAGAGTGACCAGGAAACACCTCTGTGAGGAACAAAATGTGTGAAAAGAAGAGGTTGCTATGACTCTGACAATGTCTCTAAAGAAAAATGGTCCATCTAGAATTTGAAAGCAGAATTTAAAAACGTCATACTTACAACATGGAAGGATCTCGGAGAAATGCTAAGTGCATCACCCTGACACAAAAGGACAGGTGTGTCATGCTTTCATGAACAAAGCATGCCTAGAACAGGTGTATTTGAGGACATAAATTAAAACAGAGATACCCAGGGGTTCAAAAGAGGGCTACAGGGACCTGTCATTCAATGGGTACAGGTCTGAAAACCTTTCCTGTTTAAAGGGTTATGTGGTCAAGGGCCTTGAAACAAATCAGCTTTCATTATATTCAGGCATCTATCTTTCTGTCTTACTCCATCAGTTACCAGAATGGAAGGCTAAAAATTACCTGTGTTCCTTCTTACAGTATTTTTAATATTCCTTTTAGTGGTGATCTTTTAGTCTGACATCTGTGGATGTTCTCTGGCTTTGTAATTGCAATCCATTAAATTACTCCACATATTTCACTCACAAAAAGAAATGGAAAAAAAAACCCCACAGCTATCTGGCCTTTACTGTAATTTTTCTCTCACACAAGGATGCAACGACAGCAATGGCTAAAGCAGGGATGCTTTTTGAAATAGCTTCTCTAGTGTCCAAGGATATTGATAACCTTGCTCCTCAAGACTCCAAGCTCCCCCTCTCCTTCACCCAATCTGCTCAGGTTCCAGAGTAAGAAAGCCACCTGCAGCGGCTTCCAGCCTGAATGTCCTCCTTTCTTCTTAACTGTAATTCTTTTTTAAAAAGCATAATATTTAGTAATCCTTGGGGAATTTTACACAATATATTGATCGGTGCCCTACCCCACATCTGCTCCCCTCTTTCTCTCTACTTCATGCATTTTTAAAGTTTTTAGTTTTTTTATTGAAATTGAGTTACTTCTCCCTATAATTTTCCTCTCCTTCCAGTTATCTTTCCTTAAACCCCTCCAATGCCTCCACTTTCAAGGTGAGAGCATCTTGTATTATATTTCTGCCACTGACGCTTTGCTACATCAGAATTCCACATTGTATCTTAGCTACCATCCCTCATTAAAGAAGTTTCTCTTTAAGCAGAGGGAGCCAACCACAGAAAACCATACTAAAAACAAAACCAAGATTAAAAGAGGGTTGGGAGTCCAAGAACAACAGATATGTTTTCATCATAGGTCCTCAGTCAATGCCTCGGGAATGTCACAGAAGAGGGGACACAGCCAGGGTTTCAGGGAGTCTGCCGTCAAACGGTCTCTCCTAGAAATGGCTGCATAGACATGACCTGAGCAATAATGACATCTATGCACATGCTAACATGGAAGGAAGAAAGTTTTATGGGATCCATTCCTAGACACAGAAGTACAAGTAATTAACAGTAAATGTTAAGATTCACTGAGCCTCGGAGCTGGTTCAGTGGTTAGGAGAACAGGCTGTTCTTCTAGAGGGTCTGAGCTCACTTCCCAGCACCCACATCAGGAAGCCAGCAACTGTCTGTAACTCTAGTTCCAAGGGATCTGATACCCTCTTCCAGGGTCTCTGGGCACTAGCATGCACTTATGCACACATACACACATACACACATACATACATACATACATACATACATACATACATACATACATACATACATAAAATGCTAAAACATTTATTAAAAATGCATGAGTACATTTGGGCTAGCTATTTCATCTCCTCAAATGATCCTCATTCAATCAGCTTACCTCATGTTAAGGAAAACTATACTTTGCTATTGCAGTCATGATATGGCATCGATGTAGTTTAAACACAAAGCACGTAAATGACCACAGAATTACTAATGTGACATTTCTATAGCCTTATTCTCTTCTCTCCCCACAATTCCTTCTTTATTATCCTGACACTTGCTAATAGGGATCTCAGTTTCTGTAATTCTATAACTTCAAAAATGCTATGTAACTGGGATGGAGAGATGGCTCAAGAAGTAAATTTCTTTTTCTCTTCTTCTTCTTCTTCTTCTTCTTCTTCTTCTTCTTCTTCTTCCTCTTCTTCTTCTTCTTCTTCTTTCTTCTTCTTCATTTTTTTTTAAATTTTTATGGCTTAGAGGTTAAGAACACTGGCTGCTCTTCCAAAGGTCCTGAGTTCAATTCCCAGCAACCACATGGTGGCTCATAACAATCAGCAATGAGATACAATTTATTGACGTTGGATCCTGGCTGTGTTTCCCCCCCCTCTTGTTCCCACCCAATGCCATCCTCCCTTCCTCATCTCCTCCTATGCCCCTTCCCTAGTCCACTGATATGGGAGGACCTCCTCTCCTTCCATCTGACACTAGCCTATCAGGTGTCATCAGGACTGGCTGCATTGTCTTCCTCTGTGTCCTGGTAAGGCTGCCCCCCACCAACACCTCAGGGGGAGGTGATCAAAATGGCAGTAAATTTCTTGCCTTATAAGCAAAAAGGACATAAGTTCAAATGCCAGAACCAACAGACATGTGTGTGCATAGGTCAAAACAAATAGACATGTAGTAAGACAGAAA